CCTTTTCGTTGCGACAGTTTTGATTCAGTTTGCTATGACATGTTAGTAGATCTTTGTCATCTTCACCTACTCATAGTGTAAGTCACCGACTTCCGATGTGGCTACCGATAAATCGGAGACGCTAGGACTGGAAGAAAAGCATCTCGGATAGAACTGTAGTCCCGGCAAACGAAATCAAGCTGCTAGAATGAAGTCAGCTGTCCTCCAGTCGTCGCACAACAGCAGCCATGCCAGGGACGCTTCAATAGTCACTGCGCAAGGGCCATCTAGGTCCCCAGAATATAATGAGTGCCACGTACACGGACATCGAGCCTACGCTGTCCGGCTGATGGTGGTGACTGTGCCATGTGTGCGTACGAGCACGCCTTGTGTATGTATGTCTGTGTCCGGGTTAGCGGAACCAATGTTGGGCGCTTCTATGGTCATAATATATACGGCACTGGCTGGTACATCGCCGCTTGGTTTTCTCCCGTTTGTTCCCATTCCACCTTGGTACAGCCAACGGAGATTGGGGATGCATTGCCAGCAGGAGGTGGTATTGGTGTGGTAGTTCACAGCTTTGGTACTCAGCGCACCCCGCCGGGTTGGAGGGGAAAGGCGAAGGGGCGAAGAGGTTTGGGATGGCGTGAGGGGCGCAAACATGACGACCGTTTCTGTTTCGCCGCCTCTGATCGGACGACCCTCACGAAGGTTCTTGAACGACAATCCTACGCAGTCATAAACACTAACTTCACACAGCAGTGAAAATCTAGGTAACGGGATGTTGAGAAGTTTGTTAAAAGGCTATCAGGCTATAACAGTTATTCGGTCAAATAAGCGTTTATATGAAAAACCCGTAAGCTTCTAAAGCAGAAACGTATCCAACAGAAATGGCGACCTTTAAATCTCCAAGATTAATAAGAACTATTGTATTTATATATTATGCCGAACGTCTTCAGACAGGCGATTCAGTTCTCTAAATAGAAAACAAGTTTGTTTAGACTGCATCCAAGAGAAAATGTATGAAGCTGTCGAAAGTTATAAGAATAACGTATAAGTTAGGAGAAATAAGGTATGCATTACCTGTCGCATATAGAATGTTGGATCCTACAAAGCCTTATATTTACTTTTCTGACGTCTTTCGATAGTAATTGTGTTAGAAAATGTGTCCAATGCAGATTAACTAGTTCTTCCTGTTATATTATAGCACGGCTTCTATTGAAGGTGTTAGTTTATGAAAAAGAAGATGAAGTTGGTTTCGAAATCAAGATAATTACCTTACTACTGTTTTACAATGCACAATAAAATACCTCAGATCCCATATACTCTAGACAATATGTGGATTACCGTATAATCTCTAGAGATATTCACACAAACGAGGATATCTCATATTCATTCAAAAAAAAAAAAAAAAAAATTCATTTTCTAGGTGACATTTGGTTCCATCTCGATACATCGTACGCATCGGCTAAAATTATGAGTTTACAATTGTGACATAGTCAATTACGTTATTGCGCTTGCCGCCTTGTTGGAATATTTGAGGCTCACCTAACTTCGATTTGAAAGCAATACGTTGCACGTATGTTACGCTAAGTTCTAAAAAAAAATCTGCCTCCATCGTAACAGACATCTGGAACTATCATACAGTCTCAGAGTCATACCGAACTACAGCTCTGCCTAGTTGGCTAGGCGAAAAGGTAACTGAGCATACCGTCAACAATCAACTTACCCCAATCGTCGGTTAATCTTGATAATTACCCAGTATAAAGGTCGGAATTGCACTGATCATTTTTATTTATGACATTTTTATTTATTGATGAATTGTATGTTTTTTCCTCTAATCTCACTTACCGTCGTGGCTGGATTTGAACTAGCAGATGAATAGATTTAAAAGGATCAACTAAGATACCGCAATTAAACTAGTACATTTGCCGTTGTTTTTCGCAGACGAATAACTTATAGTTTAACTTAAAATGTCTAGTGTCAAAATTGGCTAGCAAAAGTTACTTAGCCATGTGATTTTGTATTGCAATCGGGACGTATTGAAATTTTTATGGAGTCATAGCTAACTCGACCGATCGTCGAGAGCAGACTTGATTAGAGAAAAGCACGAAGTTTCTTTGTTAATAGTGGTAACGTCCGAAAGCTCCAGGGGACCTTTTTCGGGGGGAAAAGTTTCGCCATATTTTACAAAATTTTTAGTTGTAAATTGATTGAGCAGTATTTCCGCTAGCAATTTCGTGATTACAGATAAGTACCGTAAAATTCACATATATACTTTTTCTTATAAAGATTGCTTTACTCGTATTAGAAACGATCGATAGGTGAGATTCCATCATATACTGTATTATAAAAAGCAATTGTTTTCAATAGTGGCGAATCTGATTACTATCAGCGAGCAACGATTAAACTTTAGAATGTATCTTACGACCTAATGAGTAGTTCTTTATTAGGTTATATATTGAACAAGACAGAATGATCGGCATAAAAGGATCATGCTGACTTCTTCATTTCACTGAAGATAATCATTTATCATTGGCACAAAGGTATCTAAATGGCACTAATGTACCCTTATATCTACCTATGCTAAACTGAAAGTCAATTATTGCATCACGATCCTCTAGACGTTTTGATCGGCGCTCCTTGCAAGAATAATGTACGTTCCTCTTTCTAATATTCCACTGTTTCCTGTTTCTCTCTATTAGGACGGAGTTACGGAGTAAAAAAGTAGGTACTATTCTTTTGTCACGACCACACACATACGCCCGCATTGTAGCAGGGCCGACATCGTTCAAGAACTCGTAAATGAGCCTAGTAGAAGGAGAATAGAGGAGGCGTGGGATGTGCGGCTAGCTGTGTTGCAGGGACCACGAAAGGGACGAGGGTCTAAGATTCGGGGCACACAACGGAGGCTACCACAGGCCAGGCAGTACGGCGTTCTACAGCGGGGGGAACGGCTAAGGGAAAGACGGCTGCAGAGACCGGCCGGCCACTGCTGGCCTAGTGTGAGTTGCAGAAGGCAAGGGATCGAAACAGGGAACTTGGGGCAGCTAGGGGTTGGTCGTCTGCTTGACAGTGATTAATGACCCTGCCTGATGACGTCACGATAAAAGGAAGAGACGAGAAAGAACAACCAACACCAGGCGGTTGGCTCGAGTCTGGCTCCGGCCCTCCTAGGTCTTCGCGAACGGGGGAAGGGGTTGGGGGTGAAGCGCAGGAATGGTGGCACAAGGGCGAGATATGCCGCCACCGTCACACAGACACACACTACTCGCACATAGACAAGCGCAAATTCTCTCTTTCTCTTGCGTTCTTGCACATTCTCTCATATACACACAAGCAGGCAGGCAGGCAGGCAGGCAGGCCTAAAAGTAGGCACACACTCTGCCGGCCCCCGCCGCGCACCCCAAATAGATATGCTCACCGCAGCGTACCGCTGAAGGCGAGCGGGGTTATCCCGTTTTCCGTCCCCGGACTTCCTTGCCGTCGCTCCCACTTATCCCGCCATTGGTCATAAAGTCCTTACAAGGTGGCTTCAACTCCGTCCGCCCGTGAGTAGCGTTTCAATCTCCAAAAGACCACCACCCTGACACCCCCTGTTTTCCTTTTCCAATCGACAGCTCGTTGACAATCCATTCCTGTAACCGGTCTGGTTACAAGGGTTGCTTGCCACGCTGCTAATAAATGCGTCCTCCTGCTAACAATCTGAAAAACATCTCTTGTTAGCTCTACCTTTATACTCTATATGTTGAATACTATGAGTGGCAGTAGCCACAAGCGATGCCTTTTGCAATTATGATAAGCTAACAAAGATTGGATCACTAACAGATGCTAGCGTTCATTACTACACGAAGTTATATGTATAGAAAGATGGCCATAAATAAATTGATGTTTCGGTCTATGATAGCCTGGCACACGAATTACTCGTTAGATTCAATATTGTATTCTCCCATCGATCATTTCCGGATCATGCTGGACTCAGCTAAGCACGATCTGTGTAATTTTAGCTAATTCAGAAAAAAAAAAGTACCGTTAAGAGCCGTAAGGATACCTAAGGCCATACGAGAATTAAGATATGTGCCGTTATGTACCTTATTTTCTATTTCTCATTACATAGATTTATAAATACTCTTCTTGGTGGAAGGAGGTGGAATTTTTAGGCGTAGCGATTTTTGGAAATGAGGCGCCCCAGAGGACGTCATGAACACCACGTTATGACGTTGCACTAGACCTTAAGTTGCTAACAAGCTCCAAAGTCCGAAGTAGCAGACGGCCCTAGAAAAGGCCAAATAGAAGGTGACCGGAAAAGACTAGGAAACGCTCTCTAAGGCAGAGCCTGTCCGCCGCATGCCGCTGCATTCACTTGAAACTATTGTTAGTTCTACTTCGTCCGTCAGGTTTAGGCTAGTATCGAATAACGGTCAGATCGAGACAGATAGAAAAAGATGAATTTTCTATTGTTTTCATATCACTTTAGGAGAACAGCGCCAATTGAAGCCAAACCGAGGCAAATTCGATATAATTACTCTATCTCTATCCTTCAGCGTGTAGGTCATGTTAAAATACGTTGCTCGCCTCTAGGCTTAAATATAGTGAGTGTATTCTCAAGTGGTCATGTTAAGCCTACCGTCAAATGTCAGGCCTTTTTTTTTTCATCTTGATTGTTGTTATATGCATACGTATGCGATTGCAATTGTTTGTCTAGATCAATCGTTAGCATCACTGACAAATGAATAGTTTGCGACTACTATATATAGGCCGCAGATCATAAGGCGTGTATTTTATAAAGAACCTGACACCTTGGATGTCCTGCCTATACAAAAATGCAAAATAGCACGCAAGGATCTTGCATTTTTGTATGTCGCGTGAAGGGGGTATTCTTGAAGATAAGCTGCTATTTTCGCGACTAACTTTGTATAGAGGCGCAGAACTTTTGTCATTTAGCCCACATTTGATATGCTTCTTATATCATTGAGAACGAAACCGCGCCCCGCTATAATTATTCCCTTTGTATTGCTAGACCTAAACGGCATTAGGCACTTTTCAAATATATTTATGAATAACTATGAATCTATTGATAAACTAAAAATCTATACTTAGCCGTCCCCCTATGAATTGAAGTGACAATGATTTGTGGATATTTCTTCTAAGAAATACAGTCATTACATTCAAAGCATATCCAAAATGTCTAATATTATCACCACTCTGTTCGGCAAAAACGAAGCTTATTTTTCCTCGCTGCGATGTGGCCTGATAAAAGCAATGTATCGGGTTGGTGTCCTGATCGAGGTCGCGTTCCATCTTTATGCAATGATACGAGAATGCCGAAAGGCCGTCTTTATTCTTGGCTGGATTCCGCCATTTGACATTTTTGATCATACTGCGCTTCTGATCTATTGCTTAGCCTGCGTCACGCTGCACGGAACCTGGGCAGGTCTGGTTATGGGTGCCCACTTAAACATTGTGCCTCCCAGTGCTACGGTACTAGCAAATGATGCTGACCGCCATTATCACGCCCTGTTGTGCGTCGCGCACTTCATCGGTGCTGGATTCTACCTAAGCAAAGCTGTGTGGAACCATTGGCGTGGTAAGTATCGTTACTTAATCAGCTTAAACCGCCAAATAGTGAAGATGCTGCACGTGAGTGTGCAGCCGTATTATATATGGCAATAAAAAGCGACCCAACAGAACCCAAGTCAAAAATGTATCTAAACAAGAAAATATTTTTTGTGTACTTTTTTTTTCACACGGATTAGCCGTTTTGTTTCAAACTAAGGCTCTAGATATTCCTTAATTTTGTCCACCTTGCTATATGTATATGGAGGAGGAATATTCGGTGCCTTACTGCGGCGTCAGGTAACCGAGGCTTCATTATTACTCAATTATTTCAAAATCGTAGCTTTTTCTGCTGGAAAAACCACAGTTTTGAAATAACTCGGCTTACTTTAGGAATAATTATCATGTATTACATGTATTCTCGTTACAATGTCTTGCTCTAACAGGAAACACGATTGATCCACAGCATACTGACGGATTCCTCGTGGTGATGCATTGTAGGTAAGCCATGGACGCTCCAGCCCGTCATAGTCCCGCTGTTTCTCGGCCTTTTGCATCGAAGTCTTCTTTGCATCTGGCAGTTAAATGATGATAACGAGAGGAGACACAGCTTCGCGCGCAGGTCGATTCAGCGTCATTCCGTGAGAACCTCATGTTCAGAGGCAGTTGCCCCCGCCGCTTCAGAGTACAGGCTGGTGCGTGGAGCTCCGCATTACCATGGGCCTATAATCCATGATCATCACGATGCAATGGTTCGCCAGTCTCGCACGAGAAGTTGTCACTCGTGCTGCTCCGCGTCGCGTAACTCGGTTCATCATGCCAGTTGCCCAAAGGTCCAGTTGCCGGCCGGGCTACCAGATAGCATAACTGCCCCTTTACCTGGCAGTTCAACGTGACGGTGTGGAGCTGTCATCATTGCTATCACAATCATTGTTAGGTTAGAGTTCTAATATCTGAACGTTTTGATCATTATATTCAAACAATAATCTGTTTGCGTTTGCAGAGATGAGAGTGCGTTTGGCTGTTCCCTATTGCAAATCCACTACTGATTAGATAGCTGGCAACTGTGCACTTAATGTAAGCGCCATTTAGCGAGAGACGTGATACGTCGCTTAAAGAAAGGGAGACAAACAGCAATCGAAAGTGGCAAGCAGACGAAAACAGAAGCAAAACAAGGCTAGTGTAGCAGCGCTCCAATAACGACTGTACGTATTTATTCCGTAAAGGAAGCCAGTAAATTGCTACAAAATCGACATGTCGTAATAACGTGGGCTTTGCGGCGGGGAGTGTTTTAAGTTTCATGGCATCAGAATAGCATCAGAATAAAGTAATTTCCTTTCGATTTATGTGATGGATGCGTCAGCTTGAATTTGGATTACAGAACAAACCCACCGATAGAAGAAACGCTAAATCAAAGATGAATGTTTTCATCATGGAGCTCCCGTGCCTATCAATCTTTATTTAATGTTTGCCAGTACTTCGACACTGTTGGACCACACTACTATAGTAAAGAAAAAGATAGAATTTAATGCATATTTTACAGGATGATACGTGATGTTTGAATGTGCCCATTTTGATTTAGATTAGATTTGACGACCTGTAATGATAAAGGGCCTCTTCGCTGCTCTTTCTTCACACCGGGATTTACGTGTTTATGCTGGTCAACTAGGAAGTATGACCCTTGTATTATCCACTGCTATCCATATACGTATGCCTTTTATTGTTATACGCTGTTGTGTCTGATTTCTCGTGAGTTCACGAAACAACGTAGGTTACAGATCGAATGAAGGCTGGGTGTTATTCTAGGCCCGACGTGGAGCGGAAATGCTTGTCACGCGCCAGAATGAGCGCGTATTGGTTTTTTCGACGTGAAAGTTAACAGGGGTACGACTCTAGCTTTCAAACAGTAGTTAGTATCAACGCTGTAAGAGCGTCGAATAGATCGTAACGGAACGCTTCCATGACAACCCATATGGCTGCTTTTAGGACTGTTACTTTTCCAGAGTCGTTGCCTTTTCGCCGTTTTCAGAGGAAGCTATCTCGCTCGTTCATTCGTTCGCTCTTTACGTTCATGTCCTTCTCCCACTGCACTCATCCCAGGCGTTTCTTCTCTTTTCTGCCTACTTCTGTCTTTTTCCGCGGTGAGAGCATTTGCCGAAAAAGGCGACTGGTGATGGTAAAGGCAACGACAGCAGCGGCTCGGATCTCGATTCCCAGCCGAACAATTACTTCTAATTGAGAGAATCTTCCCTCTTCCCACTTAGTCCCGTTTCTCCAATATATGCCGTTGCCATTGTACTTTACTCTTCTCCACCGTCTCCACCCCTGCTTCACCCCTGTCATCCCTCTCTTAGGCTCTAACTGCCCCAAAAATTGCTCCTTCGCTTTTCACCCTGTTGACCGCTACAGCCAAAGCAGTACTATTACTACCTCTAGAACGGTTGATGCTCGAGTGACAGTGCTCTGCTGGACATCTGGGGTTCTCGGCTGTTTGGCCTTTCGGCTGCCTCTTGCTCTTAGCTGTCCGGTCCCGTTGTCTCGCTGGCCCTCTACTCATTAAGATCAAAGCTTGCACGCTGACCACTACGACTACTACCGGTAGTGGCCCCTTACCAACGAGAAACCACCAAGAGCGAGCAAGGATGAGAGATCAAAATGGAGATATATGTGGAAAGAGAGGAAGCAGGAAAAGGAGGCTTCGAGCCACCAGAATGAAGATGGGGGAGGGTTGATGTACGAACCAGTGGGCCGCCACGGCAAGCTAACGCTCGACGATTGCAGCAAGATGTTTCGGACGATTCCCTTATTTGGATGCCCCCCCCCCCCCCGTCTAAATAGAGCAAAGAATGAAAGTGGATGCGCGGGAAGTCGAACCTTTAGACTTGACCAACTCTTTCTGTTAACTACCTAGAAGAGTCCAATGGCGCAGGCGACGGCGCCGGGGAACGGGGGAAAGGAGCAGTGCGTGCCCGCTTGCAAGCGCGGCTGTTAGCTCGCAACCTACTCTGGAACATTGCGGCACAGCTTTGTATAGTAAAGGAGACAGGGCTATGGGATGTTGGAACGTGGCGCGAACTGGTCCGCTGGTGGTAACCACTATGGTGGTTATAATGTGATATTGGGGAATTAGAGGGGTCCCCCCAGAGGTCGAGAGGGCGAGGACGTCGCGGAAAGTAAAACCGATAGTGGTGTGGAAGTGCAAGGAGATGGAACGGCGACAGCGTCAGTAGTGACCAAGTATATTTTAATTAAAATACCTTTGCTTGTTATTAATAGTGAGTTAGTAGACTTGTGTGATAGTGGTCGGTCGGGACCGGAGTGGTGACCAGCCGATTAGGCGTAGTTCTCTGTTGCTTCCAGTGTTGCAATTGCCACGGCTGTAAGTCGCTCTCCTAATAAAGGTTCCTTTGATTATAAGCACACAGGCGGACGAGTTAGAAAGGCAGACAGGGAGTTAGAATGCGTACGGAACTATAGGCAAGTGTAACAGGAAGAAAAGTCTCCACGTTGGCACAGAAAGAAAGCTAGGCGAAACGGTCATTGCTAGGTGGTACGCTCAACTGCTGCAATAGCGGTCACACGGAATTCGCGTCCAACTGTACTGCTAACTACACCAGTTCAGTTTCCCCAGCCAACCTTATTCCTCGCAAACAGAGTCTCGTGAGGTTAGGCTGCCACCTGTTGTCATGAGTACTCCATACAAGTTAACTGTTCGAGGTCGAGAAGGAGAGAGATGGAAGTAGCGTTGAGAAAAAGGTACTTGGGGATAGAAGTTGTGCCACGTTACCAAGTACTTGTGTCCCGTTCGTGACTTGCCTTTATATCGATAGATTGAGTAAATTGTTAGAAGGCGAACGCATGTGTGTCAGTACGTCAAAGTCAGTACGTGGACAAAGCTGTCACAACCATACAGAGGGCTCGTAAACGTAGCTCCGCAGATCCTCGTGAGCAGGATCATGCGATTCCAATTCTGCACGTCGAAATGGATGAATGGATAATCCTTTAAACGAAAGAACGTCTGTAGAACTGCGCGCAGTATCGTCTCCGTGCTATCCTGTTCAGCTTCAATTAATCCAGCCCATAACGATAAGCATTACTTCGTGTGTTTCTGATCATTCTTTCAAGCGAAGTCGAAAGTGTTTGCGTCAAGGTTATCTGTGTAGTTTTGTAAGTAAGCTGCTCATATTATTGTTTTCTGGAAGAGCCGATTTAGATATATGTATTATATCGTTGCGTATCGTTCACATAGTCCACACACTAGTGCATCGGCTATATTTGCTGAGAAAGCAACATACGCTGTGCACACCAGTTACTTGTTACGAAATATTAAAAAAGTAATTTTTTAATAAGTCACACTATTATTTTTACAGCTGAAATTATCGGTGACTTTCAGTAGCTTGGGTATAGAGACATCTGAATTTCTTTCTTTACGTATAACTATTTTATTATAATACAGCCACCAACATAGAAGATGTGTACATCCCTATTTAAGAACCCAAGTCGGTACGAGTATCGGGATAAAAAATTCAATGTTAGAATTTAGCATGCAGATTACAGAATACTATTTACTCAGTATTGGCAAGCAGTAAAGGTCTAAATTAAGTAAAATTAATTAACAGTAATAATAGCTAGAACGTTCGGAATCGATCTGTTCCCGAAACTACGTAGACGTTTTTCCGTAAAATTCAATTAAGGTCTTAAAAAAGTTCACACAAGTCAATAGTTTTTCGAGATTTGCTGTATCCGCATTTTTATCATTGTTTGGTGATAGATATTAAACATTATCATGAATAATTAACCCTGTTTTATGCTTGATAACCAATGTGAAATTTGAATTCTATCCAAAACAATCATCATCGTGGTACCAGTGACTTTCATACGACCTTAATCTCATTGGCACTGAAACAAGAAGCAACCGGAAATTGCCGATAGGCTCGGCTCGCCTCGCGTTGTCTTCATAGAAGAGACTGAAAAGCAAAGCGTACGAGAGGTGTTTGGTTCCGGTTGACCGGAGGATGCCTTCGCCGAACACAATAGATTTTCGAGTGGCATCTTGCCACCCAATGAGTAGCTAATGTTAGCCCGACAATGTAGTCCACCGCGTGGCTAAGACAGGCAGGGGTCGTGTTGTCTCCGCCGCCGTACGAGCGACGGGGTCAACCGGGAGAAAGGCAACGAAAAACCAAGAGTGGGAAACAGATAGTAGTGAAAAGTGGCTGCTGCTCCGCGTGGGTGGTGCGGACGATCGACCCAGGCGAGCGCTCGGTGGAGCTGGTTGGTCACTTTTTGTCGGTCTTCCGGTATTGGAGGAAGCCCAATGTTCAATGCTGCCGTGATAATTGTCACCGTGTCTGTGTCGTCATTCTGGACATCCGTGCTTCGTTGCCGTACTAGCCACATGGTAAGTCATTGCTATAAACAAGAATCTCATATGAGGCCCCTGTAGAGGTCTCTTGGCGCGATGCCCTTCCACATCCTTTCCTCGTGTGCTTACAGACCTCAGTTCTACTGAACTGAGCTTGTCCCCGTCGGCGGCGCCGATAGCGATAACGACAGGAGCAGTAGCAGTCAAGCTCGCTCGCCAAGAATCAAGGGCCGCGGCAAATCGCCTTTCGCGAAGTCGCGGGTCCTTCGACGCGCCCGCAGGCTGTGTGCTTCGCAAACAACGTCAGTGGAGAGCGGCTGGCCATGACTGTTGTAATGGCGAAGAAAGTGCCAAGCGTTTTGCGCAGGCGCGCACAGCCGTCACGCTTGTGCTAACGCACTGCCGCACAAGATGGCAATCGTCTTTTTATCATTGTCCAAACAACTAGACTGCCATTGCCAGGGGAGCGGGAGGAAGGGAATAAGAACACAGGATGACTTGCTACCGCCCCCGCAGCACTATGAGATGTCGGTCTCGACCGGGCTTTGTACGGGGTGAAAGAGGGGTACGTCGCCTGATGGTAGAACACTCTTCCTCTTCTACTTTCACTGAATCGTTCCCCTCAGCAGTCCCTTTTCCTGCAGGCAGCGCGCGTTCCTCAAGAATTGTCCTCGTCCTGTTTAGACATCTGTTCGATCTCAGTGTCACTTCGCCCGATAAACTACTGAAGAGCGCATTGTTCACTCTATGAAGAACGGTTTTTGGGTGTTGACCAATATTTTAGTGTCATTAGGGTATTAGTCATCTGACTGTCTACAAACGGTCTTGGTGATTTTGTCAAATCGGGAGTTTGGCTCAAAAGGACAAACGTATTTTTACAACCACTGCCTTCCTAACGTTTGTTTACGAACCCCGAAGCAGGAGCTTTGGCAGACTATTATGCAGTAAAACTTTCAAAAAGTCCTGTCAGGATCGGCGTCA